TAGACTTCAGCAGGGATCGAACCTGCGAATTCGATGTTCAAAGTCAGAAGCGTTAACCACTGAGCTATGTACATCCCGTAAACTCTTGTTGCTAATTCATTTTTCCTTATTCAACCAACTACTATCAATTGCAGCTGATTTGCCGCTATTTAAACTCGACAGCGTGGTTGTTGTTGGCAATTCTATACATCCATTTGCTTATTTGCTTTTTTGTATAGTTTCAGGCAGGCTCTTCCTAAACTATGTATTTGTCAATGTTATTGTGGCCACTGCTCCCTGCTGAAGTCTAGAAAAAAGAAGTCTGATGAGGAGATGTGGTGATCTCCGAAATAGTGCTATAACTTCTACCGCTTAGACTTTGTTGCCTTTTCAATTTTTCCTAATAAACAATCGTGGTACAAAGCTCAATAAAAATATTAGAAATAAAATGTTAACAAGCCACAATAACATTGACAAATACATAGTTTAGGAAGAGCCTGCCTGAAACTATACAAAAAAGCAAATAAACAAATGGATGTATAGAATTGGCAACAACAACCACGCTGTCGAGTTTAAATAGCGGCAAATCAGCTGCACTTGATAGTAGTTGGTTGAATAAGGAAAAATGAATTAGCAACAAGAGTTTACGGGATGTACATAGCTCAGTGGTTAACGCTTCTGACTTTGAACATCGAATTCGCAGGTTCGATCCCTGCTGAGGTCTAGAAAAAAGAAGTCTGATGAGGAGATGTGGTGATCTCCGAAATAGTGCTATAACTTCTACCGCTTAGAGTTTGTTGCCTTTTCAATTTTTCCTAATAAATAATCGTGGTACAAAGCTCAATAAAAATATTATTTTTTTTTTGTTCTTTGTGGCTCTTTGCAGCATTAGAATTTACATGAGGCTCCTTTCGGCCTCGGCCTTGCCCACCCCTGCTATATTTGGTCCATGTTTTCGCGAGTATATTGAAATTAAATAAAACGCAAATCTTCGTTCTATTGATATTTTAATTGTCGATATTTCGACCTCAATCTGAGGGCATCTTCAGGACTGTAAATATACAAACACGATAACTTTAAATTATTACAAACATACATTAAACACAACTTACACTCTTGATTGTGCTTGGTCGACTAATTAGGCGCACAGAAATAATAGTTAAACAAGTAAAATTTTAGGCAAATGAATGAAATGAATAAACATAAGAAGTAAACAATTAAAAATACCGTAATTGTAAACAAAAAACATACAAAAAAACAATACACGGAACATTAAGCAGGAAGACAATAGGGGTATTCTACAAATCTTGTAAATCCGTTGCACGTCGCACGGATTGCATAGATTGCATAACTTGAAAACACACAACAACAAAATATATGGTAAATACCATTTCCTATCGCTGCAACGTCGAAACCCCTGTATATATTTTGCAAAAAACATAACAAAATAAATGCGACCTTGTGCTAGTTGCTTTGTTGTTGGAATTGCTACATATTTCTCTCATTCCTCTCATCTCGCTCACTTCATTTTTTTGCTGTATCTTGTTATTGTATTTGATTCAGAATTTCGCTGATTGCTATGCATGCATGCATGCTATCACTTTGCAATGGGGTGCTCTCGTACTCTTCAAAATTTGGAATAGTATTTTTGCATTTCGTGCAATCCTTGCATCGTGCAAGACTTCGAGAATACTCCTAGTATGTATATGTACAAACATATGGATATGTAAGAGCACAGCATTTTATTATTATTCTACGGAACGAATGTTGATTATGGAATAGAGGAACACCTACGTTGAAGATTGTTGCTGCCAATTTAAAACCTAATTGCGATACACATATGCACAATTGTCTGTGTCCGTTTTAAAGTTGATCCTTCTCTCATTAGGGGCGTTCGTAATGTGTAACATTTCCAAAATGTTGCGTTTATTATAGTTCTTTTCTTCTTGTAGAATGGCAACATTATCAAAATCGGGAAAGTGTCCCGTATCCCTACAGTGTGCTGACAAGGCCGTCTTATTGCCCGTTGAGCTGTTCCTTAAGTTTATATTTGATTTGTGTACGGAAATCCTTGTCTTGAGTTTTGTTTTTGTTGTCCACACATATACTTTGTCGCATAAGTGGGACCCGTCGCCATTACATGAAAGTGTGTATATTACGTCAGATTTCTCGTATCTAGGGATCTTGTCCTTAGTGTTGCTAGTGTGTTGCTGCATGTAAATGCTATTTGAACCTTTGTTTTCATATATCGTCCCGTTTCTGCCTTAACCTCGTATCTGCAATAGAGGTAATTTAGAGAGTGTAAGAAAAATGCTTAATTTCTTCCCCTAGGATACAATTCACGCATTTTTTACTTAATATTTCTGGTTCCACTAACAGTAGTGAGCACCTTCATTAAGTCTTTGTTCTATTTTCAAATAGTGTGACGCTTAAACAGCTGTTATAAGTGGGAATATTAGTTTCCCCAAAAATTTTAGATACGTGGTTAAGGTAGAAACGGGACGATATATTATAATGTTTCATCCACTCAGACATCCCCGGAATATATGTAGCGGTTTTGTATACTTTATTCTCATTATAAGTATTCTCTTTATCGGTCCTAACGTAATAATTCTGAATGAGTTTCCTAATTAAGCAACAGGGGAATTTGTTCTGTTCCAAAACTTGTTGGATAATATTTTGGTTCTTTTTATGAAAATATTTGTCGCTAATGGGAGGACTCTTCTTATGAAATTGGTTGCGGTATTTAAAATAGTTTTCCTCTCATGTTTCGAATTGTAACTGATTAATCTCCCCGACGACGTAGGTTTTGCATACCAGTCAATTTTTAATCGATTGTTGTAAAATTGACTATCGCACGGTGTAGTATATACACGAAAGGGATTCGAATTTCTGTTTTTTATATTAGCTATTTTTATTTATATTTTTTATTTTTAATCAATCAATATGAGTTATAATAAATTTATTAATTGCACAGTCCTATTGCAAAATGTATTAATGTAAATATGTTTTAAACTACACATACGTAAAATTGTTTGCTATTAGTTATTTGTGTTATTCATTATTACCCTGAAGGTATTATATTCTTTTTCGGTTTTACAAACTATTCTATAACAAGATGTCATTGTTAAAGTAAAAAAATGTGTTAAGTAGATTTCATAAACTTTATATAAAAAAAAATTGGCAATTTTGGACGATTTTGCAATCTAGACCCCTGCTAGCGCTAGTCATGGGCTATTTGGTTCCAGAGATATTGATAGTGTAGTGCTTACTTCAGCTGAAGAGATGGCTACTACATGTTTTAACAAAAATTTACAGAGCAAAAAAAAAATTTTTGCGGCATAAATTGGCACTAAATTTTGCCGTAAGGTAGAAATATATGCGCTTCTTAGTTCCAGAGATATTTATAGTGTAGTGCTTACATTAGCTGAAGAGACGGCTGCTACATGTTTTTACCAAAATTTACAGAACAAAAAAAAAGATTTTTTTTGTGGGTTGAAGCTACTTTGGCCGGTATAATAAAATATATATTTCGGCGCTTTTTTCCACGCCTTCGTTAGGGAGTCTATATTTGAACATTAAATAAACAATAAACATGAATAACATTAACATACATAACGTCGCCTTAGAGTGTAAACGTGCTAACGACCAAAAAACATATTTTACTGTAGAGGTAAAAAACTATATATATCTTTAACTCTTAGTCTAAGGGGCAAATTCTACATAAAGTTTGTTAATCGCGCGACGTTATATGGCCCTAATCCAGAACGAATGAAAAAATTACGTTTTTATGGTTTTATTGGCGAATTTCTAACTTAGCAGATTTATTCTTCCGTTTATTGCAACAAAAATAGGCAGTTTATAATACATATATTAGTAACTATACGTGAAGTATTCCTCTTTCAAATTAATAGTACGAAGTCCACATATAAGATAATTTATGTAGGAACTCGATAATGCCAGAAAGTATGATACATATTATTCAATCATGAGGTAAATTGTCATAGTAGGTGTGGTAATCTTCAGGAAGTAATCGTTTGAAATACTGGAGATATCATACTTTCTGTGAGCAGTCGTACGCCTACTCTCGTATAAATTCGGAAGGTGAGAAAACGGCAAGGAAACAGCTACTGAGGATTTTCTTTGCGTTGGAGAATCTTAGTTTGAAATG